AATTCTATAAAATATTTCCTGAAGCGACTTCTATCTCAGTTTGCCTTTCTATAAATCACATTCTCTTTGCCATTGCTGCAGTAGGAGAAGTTTCATAGACTTTCCTTTATCAGAAATGATAACATCTTCCAATTTGAGAGATAAGTGGAAGAATCAGTCCCTATTCTGAAATAACTTAATCTATGATTAAACCATGTGTCATGGTATCAATAATCCATTTATTCCCTTTCCCTACCAAATAGCAGTGAATGTAACTCAACTCCTTCTGTGCATAGCACTAATCATTGTTGTTTTTTTTTACTTCTAGCCTTTTATGTTCAAGTATATGCACATTATACTGAACTTAACCATGTGTCCACACTCCACACTTTAAGATACTGAAAGACCCAAAAAAACCCCAAAAAACAACCCAGAAATATGTATACTAAATTCTATTGCCTGCCCATGTTACTACTATTTGCCTGTGATCAAGTGTTTCATTTACTGCTGTTCTTGTTCTGTATAATATAAGGTAGAAAGACAAATTTATATTTGAGCCTAGATTCATCTTGAGCAAATGGTCTGACTCCTATAATCTCAATTTCTTTATATGTGCAATGAAAGTTATTATTGGTATCACTCTGTAGGGTTATTAGAAAAGACTGAGCAAGACTATACATTAAATTACTTAGCAAACAGACTCTCAATAGTGATACTTGGTGTTTTAGTGTGTCAGTACATAGCACTTCTAATTCTCATGTGCAATTATTGAACTAATAATTAAAAGAGCCAAGGAGTTAAACACAGGCAACAAAAAATTATACTGGGTGTGGTGGCGCAAAGCTGTAATCCCACTGATTTGGAAGGCTGAAGCAGGACTCCCAGAAGAGTAAGGGGAGAGGGAAAAACATATATACAATGTTCTTATCTAATAATTTCTGAATAAATTAAGTCATTCTACCTTGCTTAAGGGAAAGTGAATGAGAAGGTGAGAAGATGTCCTTTTTCCTTCAAGTTCCAGGTCATATGTTACCATTTTACTAAATCATTTCAGATTCTTATACTCTGAAATGATTTTTATCCTCCCTGAATCTTCATTGGTCACTCTATATGTCTCTCTTAAACTACAGACCACAATATTCAAAACATGTTCATGATTTTTAATATCTTTATATTTTTAAGTTTTGATCATTCATTTATACAACATAAATTTCTTGATAACTCACAATGTAGTAAGCAGTGAGCCAAGCATAATTTTAGTCCTCCTGGGGCTTAAAAACTGGTAAAGAGGACAGATAATCATTTCCCTGAGGGCATAGTCTGTAGTTTTCCCCTTCTACATATCTCCTTTACTTCTAATATTTTTATAATAAAATTTAATGGAAGAAATGGATCAGAAATTCAAAATAAATTTCATTGGACCAATACACAAAATTGCTCTATTTGAAGTATCATATTTGAAATTAATAAAATGTTTGCTCAATTCACACTTGAAGTATTTGAACTATCAGTGATCATGATATTCATGCGAAACATGTCCACATACAAAACATGAAATACTAATAAACATAACTAAATTTATAACAGAGATATTTATACCCTCACAAATCATTTGATTAAATAATTCCAGAACAAGCTGGCACTCTCTTATGAATAAAATATATCAATATCTAAATAGGTGAATATATCACTGAATAAGCAACTGCTTTATATAACTGGCAGGTGAGTCTAATAGTCTGAGAAGTTTCACAATTCACAACTTTTCACATAAATATATAAGGTAATTGTTGAAGTAAAGATCACACCCAGTGTTTTAAAATATCAGGTTAGATATCATGCAATCTAACAATACAATTGAAGCTCAATTATTTTTACAATAAAACATAATCTTGACCACTTAGATTCTACAGTATAGTTGATTTACTTGTAGATCTTATTAGAATGTCTTTTCCTGGGCTCCAACTCCTAAATTTAAGATGGAACTCTGTTATAAATCTCCTGACACAGCTACTAAGTAAAGAAACTCTAAGGCAATGCCTAATAAAATTGAGCATAAAAAAACCAGAAACATGTAAGAAATTCATCAAGTGATGAATGCATGATACATTCATGCAATGGAAAACACTCAGCAATAACAAGAAATCAATTACTGATACACACATCAACGTTGAAGAATCTCAGTTGTATTACAGTAACCTTAAAGAAATAGATTCAAAATTATTATATACTGTATGCCTCCATATATGACATTCCGAAAAGAACAAAACTAAAAAAAATATGTGAGGAATTTCCAATGTTTTGAAGGAAGGATCAACTAGAAAAGAGACACATAGGAACAATTTTGGATTGATAAACATATTCCATAGCTTGTTTGGGGAAGTGATTAGTCGATTATGTTTTTTAAAACTGCAGAGTCTAAAAAGGTGAACTGAAATCTATGTGCTTTATAGTACATATGAATTACATTTTAAGAATCTGCCTTTAAAAACACAAAACCAACAATTTCACTCTTAGATATACAACCAAGAAAAAAATATATATATACACACCCACATGAAGACATGTTCATGTATATCACAGCGGTTTTATTTTTATTTATTTGTAATAACCAAAAACTAAAAAAATTCAAAATATTCATCAATGTGTGATGATATAAACAAAATGTGGCATATCCATACATTAAGATATTATCCAGCAAAGGAAAACAATAAGAAATGTACTAATATTATACCAGACACAAACACTGTACACCTCATAAGAAAACTTTTTGAATGATGAATATGTTGATTTCCTTGATTGTGGTTATGACCTCCTGAGTATATACATGTTAATATCCATCAAATATTGCACTTAAAATGTGAACTTTATTTTATGTGAATTTATATCTCATTAGAATTAAAATTAATACTATTTAGCACATGTAGGACAAAGATTCTGCTTTTCTAAAAAGTTCCCAAGTGATTTCCTGGTTCCTGCAGTCTTACACAGGACATTTTGAAGAGTAGGACTCCTCTCCAGTATCCAGGTGTTACCTTCTTAATATCCTTATATTTCTGTCTCTGATCACATAGAATTTCCTTGAAGATTTTTATATTCAAGTAACTGCCTTTCTCTAGGATACTATTGGCTTTCAGTCAAAATGCCTATGATCACTGACTCTTTATTTCTCTTGTTGCTTATTTAGGTAAATCCTAATCATCCTTCATAACTTACCCTAATGGTCACTTCCTTGAGAGGATTTCCCTGACATACTAATATAAACTAGGAACCCTGATATGGATATACTCTCTGAAACTTTATCCTAGAAAAGCACACTATAGTAAATAGAAAATAATATTTTAAAATATTTATACAAGAAAATATTTATGCTGCTGTTTGAAGAGAAGCAATTTTCATTAGAAAACATTTTGAATGATAAAACATTAAATGTGCTTTTTCAAAAGAGAATATTTTAATTTCTTTGGAATTTAAATTTTTCCTACAAAAATTGTGGAGGGATTAAACTTGTAGTTCAATTGTTGATAAAAGATTAATGAATCAAGTATAAAAATAACAAGGAAGGGGAAAAAAGAATGGCTTTAAGCTAGATTACTGAAAATCCAAGCAGCCTTCTCTATTGTTTGTCAAGTCTTCTCTAAAGGAGAACAGAGGTCACTGAATAAAATCCAAAGGCAGTTTAAATCCTTGCTTTAACACTATTTCTGTGACCCTCTAAAAAACATTTAACCCATCTTCACCTTATTTACTTCATCTATAAAATGTTATTTTCCCTCTGAGATATCACCGGAAGTTATTATGAGAACCAAGTAGATAACCTTATAAATATGTTGCTAATTATAAATTGTGTCAAACTATGAATTAATTCACTGACTCAATGTAAGGGTATTTTCATTTTAAGAGCTAACATTATATATTCTAAATGTCTGGCTCTGGGACAAGATCACTAAATATACTACTGTTCTGAGTACATTTTGAAAATGGAGTGCTGGTAAACTTTAAAATGCCTTTCCTGCCTCTGCTCTGAAGATTAGACCCTGTCCCCACTTCCCTGACTTTCTACTTCTGTGACTGCCAGCATATATACATAACAAATCATATAGGAAAAGAAGAAAGGGAAAAGGTTACTATTCCTTTTTGAGGGTAGAAACTGGTTAAATGTGCCTTTTATGGTAAATTTTTCATGGAGTTCTAATAGGACTCAATAAAGCTTACATTTTTATTGCTACCCTAACAGATTAGCTTAAAATAGCATCTACCTATTTTATCACAATTTGGTAGAAATGCAACACGCATCTCCCTGAAGTAAACTCAAGGTGTCAACAGAAAACTGTGTTCATTATTTAAGTCTATAAGAAAGATTCTGCTTCCAAGCACTTTGATGCTGTTGGCACAGTGTCAGTCTTTGTGTTTATAGAATTGAATCCCCAATCCAATGCTGGCTATTGGCCAGAGGTCATTCTCAACTTGCAAAAACCAACCACATTCTTCAGCTTGTAACTCCCTTTCATTTTCAAAGAGGATTAAGTCCTTTTCTTGCTTAGAATTGGTTTGAATTTTTCTGCCTGATCTTTTATACTCCAAATGGGAGAAGCTTCTCGGTTTATGTCTCATGTGAGTAGATTAGACACAATTATAATTTATTCTCCCAATTTGAAGGTTTGTACATTTAATTGAACATGGAAAATACCCTTTCCCAGGTAAGTTAATATATTTACAAGTTCTGGAAATTAGAATGTGGACATTTTTGAGCAGCCATTATTTTGTCTATTATACAATCTCTGTATTATATGCTTGATTTTTTCCCCACCAAATGGAACATTATTTGATGTAATTGGTCATATGTTTGAACGAACATGTCAATATCACATAAGCAACAGTGACAACAAACATTCCAATTCTTTCACTTATTAAATCCATGAAAATCACCTTTTTTGTAAGTATAAGAGTCTGCTACCTATCTGAGAAGAAAAAGCAATAAAGACTAGGTCACTTTCCAGTGCTGACAACCTTTCCAAGAGAACATGCCTCTAGAAAAGGATCTCCTTCATCCTTCTCCAGAAGAGAAGAGGAAATACAAGAAGAAGAGCCTGGTGCAGAGCCCCAATTCCTATTTCATGGATGTGAAATGCCCAGGATGCTATAAAATCACCACAGTTTTTAGCCATGCAAAAACAGTAGTTTTGTGTATTTGCTGCTTCACTGTCCTCTGCTAGCCTATGGGAGAAGAAAAGCAAGACTTACAGGAGGATGTTCCTTCAGGAGGAAGCAGCACTAAAAAAAACCCTGAATCAAGATGAGTGGGAAAACATCCCAATAAACACATGTTGGTTATTAAAAAAAAAAAAAAAAGACTACGTCAAAGGACAGGGAATTATCAGTTCTCCATTAAAAACAAGTATGTGGAGGGCTGGGGTTGTGGCTCAGCAGTAAAGCACTTGCCTAGCATGAGTGAGGCCCTGCCTTTGATCCTCAGCACCACATAAAAATAAATAAATAAAATAAAGATATTGAGAACTACAACTAAAAATATTTATTAAAAAAAGTGTGTGGAGGTTCCTTTAAAAATTAAAAATAGAATTACCATATGCATCCACTAATCAATCTTACTCTTGTTTTTTTCTCTCTCCCTCTCTCTCAGACACACACACACACACACAATTACAGAAATCAGGATCTCAAAGAGATAGTCAAAATAAGAATATAACCCAAATGTCCTTTGATAAGTCAAAAGATAAATAAAAGTGATATATTTGTGACACCCATACACTGGAATATTTTTCAGTCCCTCTAAAGAGGTGAATCCTGTCATTTGCAAAAATATAGATGAATCTGAAGGACATTTTTCTTAGTGTAATAAGTCAGTCACAGAAAGACAAATGCTGTGTGATTCCACTTATAGGAAGTATCTAAAATAGTTCAAATTACAGGAATAAGGATTAGAATGGAGGATGCCGGGAGCTGGGAGGAGGGAGATGTGGAAATTTGTTGTTTAAATTTCAGTTATGCAATATGAATAAATTCTAGAGATCTGTTGAACTACACTGTGCCTACAATTAGTAGTAGTGTATTGTACACTTAAAATGCATTAAGAAGGTAAATCTCTGTAATGTACTTAATGTAAAGAATAAAAAAGTTTCCAAGACTGGATCAGTTCTCCCAGATAATTGAAATTAGCCTATTTTTTCTGAATTTGCAATTAGTTGTAGGTTCCTAAAATATTTACTCAAAAAAGTACAATAAAAATGTATTTCAACTTAGACTTTTATATTTAATAGGGAAAAAACAGAGGACTTCCCATTTATTTGATCCAAGATTATTATTTTTTTTCTACCAGGGGTTGAACTCAGGGGCACTTCATCATTGAGCCACATCCACAGTCCTATTTTTTGTGTTTTATGTAGAGACAGGATCTCACTCAGCTGTTTACTGCATTGCCTTTTGCTGAGGCTGGTTTGGAACTTGTGATTCTCATGTTTCAGCCTCCTGAGCCACTGGTATTACAGGTGTGAGCCACTGTACCCAGCCCAAGATTAATTTTTAAGATAAACTCTATGGGTGTGTAAGTCACAACTTGAGAAAGAAATTAGAAGAAAATTTAGGAAACAAAAAGATTAGCTGCTTCTCTAGCATAAAAGGAACAGAGCTAATAGAATATAAGGCCCAACACCTAGAACACTGAATATTTATTAGTAACATTAAAATTGCTCTCCTGGAGTCTAAATTAATGTGATTAATACATCTGATCAAACTATAAATCCCAAAGATTATATGTACATTAACAGCAAAGCTGATTTAATCAGAAAAAATTACATATCTCAGAAATGATAAAATACATTAAATATGTGTGATCCATCTGTATTATGAGATGGAAAATTCAAAAGGAAAGATATTTTGTACAATCCAAATCCAGGGAAGATGTTTCATATAGATATTTTATGTGATGCTAAGAATAGAACCCAGTGCCTCACACATGTAAGGCAAGTACTCTACCACTGAGCCACAACCCCAGCCCTGGTATTTCAATTTAATGAATTGCTCAGGTATCTTTTTTCAAACCTTAGTTCTTAGTTTATTTATGCTTTCCATAGCTTCTTAAATTGAATTATGTTTTATTTTAAGTCTTCTTATATTAAAAGAAGAACATTTAAATCTATTGATTTTTCTCTACTGAATTTGTCACAATCTTGATGGTTTAAAATGCAATGTGATTAACTCTTGTAGTTTTTCATAAAATTAAAATTTAAGTTTTGGTTATTGTTTTGTTCTTAGAATTACCTAAAATATGTTTCAATATTTCCAAATGGCATTGTTTTATTTATGCTGATTTTTTTCCTTAGAGAATTCATTGCTAGTTGTATTTTCTCTATAGGTTCTGTATAATTTGTGATTGTTTGTTGTGTTAATTCATTTTTATGTTATCATTCTGCTATTAGGAAAAATGGCATGTGTCCTTTTATTGTATTTCTAAATACTTTCCATTAATATGTAGGAAAACCATTGTTTTTTTTTTATATTAACTTTATAATGAACCAACATACAAAATTCTGTCTCCAGTAGTTGTATTTTGGAATCTTCTTTTTCTTTTTTAAAAAATTTTCTTTCTTTAAATTACATCTATTTTGCCTGATACATGAAAATAGGAAAATTTCATATATTGGTTTGCTACCATGTATTGTTTTTATATATATATGCAATTCATGATGTTCAAATAAGGTTAAACATATATAGTGTCGGCGCTTTTATGTTGAAAACTCTCAAAATTTTTTTATCTAGCTTTTAAAAATGTGCAGTACATTATTGTTTTCCATCATCATTCTACTCTGTATACCAGAACTACTTCCTCCTCTCAAATTATAACATAGCACCGATCAATCAACTGTTACCCATTTCTCCCTTACCCCTTCCCTTCCTCCAACCCCCTTTCTGTCCCCAACCTCTGGTAACTACCATTCTACTCTCAATTTAGTTGAGATGAACCTTTGTAGATTTTATATATGAGTGAGGTCATGTGGTACTTGTCTTTCTGCACCTGGCTTAATTCACTTATATAATCAATGTTTCCATGCACATAATTGTAAATGGCAGGATTTCATTATTTTGTATTGATGAATAGTATTCTATAATGTCTATATACCACATTTTCTTTATCCGTTATCACTTTATGGGAACATAGGTTATTTTCCTTTCTATGCTATTGTCAATTGTGCTACAATAAACATGGTATGGGTTTCTATATATACCTAATCCAAACCATAAAAATCTATGCATAATGATTATTTTCTGTTCTCTTTTCTACTATGTTCACCATTTATTTTATTATCGTGTCAATTTACTATTCAATTGACTAGCATTTTCAGATATTTCACTTTTATACTTTTTAGCTATCAATGTACTTTTATTTATATGTGGTCCTGAGAATCAAACGCAGTGCCTAACACATGCTAGGCAATCACTGAGCTACAACCGCAGCCCTTGTTTCTGATTTTAATGAGAACATTTCTAGTATTTCAAAATTGAGCACATAAGGAAGTGTCTATCTATTCCTAAGCCACCAAGAGTGAAAAAAAATACCACAAAAACTCTAGATTGCTGCAATCAGGTGAAAAAAAAAACACTGCAAAGGTCTTAAGTTAGGAAATTACTTGGAATTGTTACTTGAGAAACAACAAAAAACTGAAAAGAAAAGCATTCAAAAGGCTCATCACAGTGAATTCACACAGTGGACTAATGATGGCAGATGAGGTCAGAGTGACAAGAGCAAAACTTCTGTTTTCCTCTCTGAAGTAGAGAGGTCCTGATGTTTGCATCTGGCCCTATTCACTGACCCTAGATAGGTAGTCAAAAAGCTATAAGAGTCTACTCCAGGAAACATATATAAATTAATTCCTGGGGGAAAACAGAATAGACAATTTGTTGCTTTGGAAGCTTTCAGTTAGTTAGGAAAGTTATTCCATTCTATAACTCAAATTACTTTGCCTTTGTTAGAAACCCATAAGGACAGCATCCAATGCTGTCTAGATCAAGAACATGCCAGAGTTGGTGTTGGAGACTCCCTTCCAATACTTTTACTACTTAAATGATTGACTAAACTTCAGATCTTACAAAATACCCAATAATTTGCTCTTTTCCAGGTCCTATTGCCCTGAGGTTGCATTCACTAACTTTCCAGGCATATGAGCCCATTCAGAGACTTGTGGGTTACATTGAACTTGTCTCAATGGTTAATGTTTTGTATTGTATCTTGAAAAAAATAATTAATTTAACTACGTATGGATAATATCTTTCTCCAGAATCTACACTTGATATTTTTTGCTTCATTTTATATTCCCTGGAACTGAGGGGAGGAGAAATGTTAAATATGTTTATTTGGTCTGTTATTTCAAAGTAAAAGTCTGAAGAGCATCATCATTTTAAACATATCATGAATAAGGAAAAATTGTAATATTCTTGGTTCACAGTAAAATAGAATAAATCACACATTCTCAGAAGCAAGAGACAGAAATTGAGGAAAAAAACTAACAGATTATCTGAGGTAAGCAACAGAGAGGGTACACTATAAATGCCATAAAAGAATTTAAAATAGCCCAAGATATAGTATTAACCTAAACTGCAAAAACTGAACCAGTCATGGGGAATTAAGTATTTATGATAGCTTTGAAAATACTATTCTAATATAAATGAATATTATCACCACAGAACACACACACACACACACACACACGCACATACATGCATATACACACAAACACACTCACCCCAACCTCAAATCCTTCACTTGTATGGAGCAGCACACTTTTCTGGCTAAATACACATGCTTTGAGCATGCACATGAGCATAAACTGAAATCCATTCACCAGGGCATTATCAGTTATCCTTGTCTGTTACATCTACTATGTGGATATCTTCATGATGAATAGCCATGTTAAAGTAAATTATGGGTGGATAGCAGCAAAAAGACAGTTAAATAGATAGAGTTCTTCATTTATTTTCTATTCTGTTACCTAGACAACTACTCCTTAGAATTTCTAATGTAACATATTTGCTGTTGTCACATAGCCTTCTAAACAAGGGGAAATGGAAAACTAAAGAATTGCAAGCAACAGTTGAGATTATATTTAAAAGTAAAAATAAATGACTTTTTCTATAGTAACTGGAAAACTTCTAAAGTAAACATTGGTTAAGTGAGTCATCAAGTCTAGCTATATCAACTCATATTCAATTTTTATTTTTTTAAAAATACATATTTAATTCTTCCTTAGAATTTATTTTTCATTC